CGCTTTGGCCCGGCGCCCGACCTCCCGGACTGGCACAGCTTGCTTAGGCGTAGCATTAGGATTTTTGACTTGGACATGGATGCCATTGTAGCGGCCTTGCATGTGATGTATGCTGATGACTCTAGTGTGCTTCCCTCTTATTACCCCGTGTTGCCTAGTGTAGCGGTGCCTAGCGTAGACTCCCCTGCTGCGTCAGGCGTAGGATCTCCTGCTTTGCTTAGCCTTGGTGCTTCCACCGCTTCACTGCTGCCTCGCGCGACTGCTGCGCTTTCCTTCACCTTGGACTCTGGCGCCTCCCGGTGTTTCTTCCGCGACTCCACGACGCTGACGCCGCTGCCTGTTCCCGCTGCAGTTACTCTTGCTGACCCCTCCGGTGGTCCCGTCGTTGCCCGCAGTTCCACCTCCCTTCCCTGTCCGGCGGTTCCTTCGGGCACTCTCACAGGTCTGCATATCCCCTCGTTCTCCAGGAACCTCGTTGGTGTCGGCTGCCTCCAGGACCTTGGCGTCACCACTACGTTCCCTGGTCACGAGCGGTATGCTGTCTGTACCGAGGCCGCCACTGGTGCCCCCCTGTCCACGTTCCCCCGGGACCCAGTGTCCGGCCTGTTCACTCTGGACACCGTGACCCCCCCGGCTGGAGCGCTCCCTCAGGTGGCTGCGTCTACCCAGGTTGCTGCTGCCTGCTCCTGTCGGTCCCTCACTCACCCGACTCTCCTTTGGCACCACCGCCTAGGTCACCCTGCGCTCCCGCGTCTGCGTCACATGTCCCAGCACGGTCTCGTCCTTGGTCTCCCCGGTTCGTTCCCCGAGTTTCCCTCCTCCCCCGCCCCACCGTGCACGCCTTGTGTCGAGGGCCGGCTCCGCCGTGCCCCTCACTCCTCCTCTTTTCCCCCTACCACCGCACCACTGCAGACTCTGCACATGGACGTCTGGGGCCCAGCCCCGGTCCATGGGCCGCGTCGCGAGCGCTTCTTCCTAGTGCTTGTCGACGACTTCACGCGCTACACCACCGTCTTCCCCCTGGAGCGGAAGGCCGACGTGCCTGACGTTCTCATCCCCTGGCTTGTCTCTGCTCGTGTCCACCGCGGTCTCCCTGCCTTGCGCCTTCACTCCGACCGGGGTGGCGAGTTTGCCTCAGGTGTCCTTGGTCGCTTCTGTCGTGCGGAGGGCATCACCCAGACGTTTACCCTGCCGGACTCCCCGCAGCAGAATGGGGTCGCTGAGCGACGCATCGGTTTGGTCATGGAGGTGGCTCGCACCTCCATGATCCACGCCGGTGCACCCCATTTTCTGTGGCCGTTCGCCGTGCGCTACGCCGCTCACCAGCTTCACCTGTGGCCGCACCCCCAGCGGCCGCAGGTTTCGCCGACCCTTCTGTGGACCGGGTCCCCTGGTGACGCGTCTGCGTTCCGCGTCTGGGGCTGCCTTGCTCACGTTCGTGCCTCTGGCACGGACAAGCTCACTGCCCGCACCCTCCCCTGCGTCTTCCTCGGTTTCACCCTTGACGCGTCCGACTGGCACTTCTACCACCCGCCGTCTCACCGCTTCTTTCACTCTCGCGACGTCACCTTTGACGAGTCCGTCTCCTTCTACCGCCGCTTTCCCCACCGTGGTCCCCCGGTTACTCCCCCCCTTTTCCTGGTTCCTCCCTCCCTGGTGGTCCCTGCCCCTCCCCCCCCCCGCCCCCCCGTCCGGCCCCCTCTGGTGTGTCTCACGTCACCCCCCTCCCGTCGGTCGTCCCGGTCGACGAGTCTTCTGACTCTGGTAGTCCTCCGGCGCAGTCCTCGCCGTCTGTCCCTCCCCCGGTGTCTCCTCCTCCACCGCCTCCGCAGCCGCCGTCGCCGCAGCTGCTGCAGCCGTCGTCTCCACCGCCGCCGCCGTTGCAGCCGTCGTCTCCGCCGCCGCCGCCGTCGCAGCCGTCGCTGCAGCCGCCGCCGCCGCCGCCGCTGTCGTCGCTGCCGCCGTTTGTGGACTCTGGGGGTGTCCCTTCTGGGGGTGCAGGTGTGGAGGGTTCGGGAGGTAGCCGTCGCGCAGCTTGTGGCCCTGGTGTTGGTGTTGTGTCGCCGCAGCAGCAGTCCCCGCCTGTGTCCGCCCTCCGTCTGCTCGGCCTTCCGTCTCCTGACCCTGCGCCTGTTCCTCTCCTGCCGTCTCCCCCTCTTCCCGTCTACGGCCCCGTGTTCCCTCTGCCAGACTCGTCCCCGGCTCGTCTTCCCCCTCGTTCCCCTCCTGTGTCCCCTCCTCTGTCTCCTGACCCGACGCCGCCCTCACACGTCTGGTCTCGCCGCCCCTCTCGTGCTCGTCCTGTCTCCCCTGTCCCGCGCTCTCACCCTATGTTGCTCCGTTCCCACGCGTCTCGACCTCCCCTCCTCCCGTCTCCTCCTCCGTCTTCTCTTGTCGTTGCGTCTCCTCCTCTGTCCGACTCCTTTCGTGCCGCTCGTCCTCTTGTTCCTCGGGTCCTTGCCTCTCTCGTTACCGACCCGTCTGTTCCCGTGTCGAGTCTTGACGCCCTCGTCGCTGCGGTCGCTGACTTCGCCTCTACCCGCCGCCTTGACTACGCCACCGCTCTGGTCTCTCACCCTGCCTGTCCTCCGTCTGTCGGGGGTGCTCCTGCCCTCGGCAGTGACGTCCTGGAGGACCGCCAGTTTGAGCTTGCTTTCCTGTCCGAGGCTGCTCCCCATCTCTGTTCCATGCTGCTAGTCCCTGAGGGTGACCCAGACGCTTTCGACATCCCGACCCCTCGTACTTACGCTGAGGCGGTTTCGGGACCCTGGGCCTCTCAGTGGATAGCTGCCATGGAGCAGGAGATGGCATCTTGGAGATCCACCGGCACCTTCGTCGACGCAGTTCCCCCACCTGGGGTGAACGTGGTCGATGGCCGTTGGCTCTTCAAGGTGAAGCGCCCTCCTGGAGAGCCGCCTGTCTTCAAGGCGCGCTACGTGGCTAGAGGCTTCAGTCAGCGCGAGGGGGTGGACTTCTTTCAGACTTTCGCTCCTACCCCGAAGATGACTACTCTTCGGGTGCTGCTACACGTAGCGGCTCAGCGTGACTACGAGCTTCACTCCCTCGACTTCTCCACTGCCTTTCTTCAGGGCAGCCTTCACGAGCAGGTCTACCTGCGTCGCCCTCAGGGCTTTACTGGCACCTTCCCCCCTGGGACCCAGTGGCTTCTGCGGCGGCCAGTCTACGGCCTGCGCCAGGCGCCTCGTGAGTGGCACGACACTTTGCGTGCTACCCTTGCTGACCTGCAGTTCTTTCCGTCCTCTGCAGACCCCTCGCTCTTCGTTCGTGCTGGCTCGACTCCGTTCTACATCCTCGTCTACGTAGACGACCTGGTCTTTGCCACTGCTGACAGGGACGCACTGGCCTCCGTGAAGGCAGAGCTGCTGAAGAGACACACCTGCACTGACCTTGGAGAGCTGCGCCGTTACCTTGGCTTGCAGATCTCCAGGGACAGAGCCGCGCGCACCATCACCCTGACTCAGTCACACTTGGTGCGCCAGGTCCTTCAGAGGTTCGGCCTTCAGTTCTCCTCCGCACAGCCCACCCCTCTTCCTCTGGACCACAGACTCTCCGCTCCAGTTCCTGAGGAGTCGGTAGATCCCAGTGGTCCTTACGCTGAGCTAGTGGGTTGCCTCATGTACCTGATGACTTGCACTCGCCCAGATCTCGCATACCCTCTCAGCATCCTGGCTCGTTTCGTGGCCACAGGCAGACACCGACTTTCAGCACTGGTCTGCCGCTAAGAGGGTTTTGCGTTATCTTGCAAGTACATCGGGCATGGGGTTAGTGCTAGGCGGACGCAGGCCAGTGGTCCTTACTGGACACACAGACGCTTCTTGGGCAGACGACGCCGAGACGCTCAGGTCTTCCCAGGGCTACTGCTTTAGCCTTGGCTCAGGTGCTGTCTCGTGGAGAGCTACCCGCTCCTCGTCTGTTGCCCAGTCCAGCTGTGAGGCTGAGATCTACGCCGGTGCCATGGCGGCACAGGAGCTCCGCTGGCTGACCTTCTTGCTCACTGACTTAGGTGAGCGGCCTAGCTCTGCCCCGGTCCTGTACGCTGACAACAGGGCCATGATCCTCCTGTGTCAGGAGCCTCGACTCGAGGGCAGAGCGAAGCACATCCAGCTGCGGTACTTCCTCCTGCGTGAGCTACAGCAGCGTCGCCAGGCTCGCGTAGTACACTTAGCCTCCGGTGCCAACACAGCTGATATCTTTACGAAGGCGCTTGCGCCTAAAGATCATCAGCGGCACTGTGTACAGCTTGGTCTGGTTCCTGTAGTCTCTCACTTACTCGGGCCTTGACTTTGTACTGCCCTATATATATCTGTGTGTACACTCAGACTGGACTTGTGTCCTCTTACAGTGGTTGGACTAGTAGTGCCGCCCTGTACTAGTTCTTGCCTTGCCTGTACTCCTTCTGACTGGTCTTTTAGACCCTTGTCTCAGAGGCTGGACTAGTAGTGCCACCCTGAGCTGCTTGTCTAGAACATTCCCCTATGCAGTCCAGGGGGTGTGTCAAACATGTTTAGTTATCATGCTTGTATAGACTGTATAGGGTCATCTTCTAGAGAGTACAACTGTTAGGTATATGTTTGTGTACTCTCTCTCTCTATTCATCAATTTCACTGTCTGATAATTTATATGTTATTCGGAAAAAGATCGCGCCGGCCACAATGATGACGAAATTGGGCTGGCCCGAGCGGGAAAGCATTCTGAATTGGGCGGGGGTTACGTCTATTGACCATTCGTGGATTTTTTTTTTTTTTTTTTTTTTTTTTTTTTTGCATTTACTGACTAACAGTGGAACCTGACTGATAAATCATGTTGAGAACTCACTAACTCTGATTGTTGATATCGTTTCACTGACCGTCCATGTTAGCGAGGCCCCTAATACTGAGCGTCGATATACTCTCCCTAACGAATTCATTATGCCACCATACTTGCGCCTTCTGTCGGGCTGACGGAAATGTCAGCTGGTACACGAAGCAAGTACGCCCCCCCTCGCGTATCCTTCTGCCACCATAGCTTTACTCGACCGTCCTTTTATTTACCCGCATTTTTCTCCCGTCACTGCATGTCTACTGCCGCGTTACGGGGGGGCATCGGGAGTAGTAGTAACTCCGGCGTGTTACTGCGGCATCATAATTATTCCGGGCATCATGCTCGGAGCACGAAATTCCCGCGTCCGCGTCTTATTCGTTCGCGAGACGATGGCTTTATGATTCGGGCCGGGGAGCACAGGAAGGATCACGAATCGCGGCAGCAGAGTTTCGCGTTCCTCGGATTTTCGCCACCGCCGGACCACGAAGCTGCTCGTAACACTGTTACCCGAAAGCGTTACAACGAGCTGCCTCGCGCCGTTTGCGTTGTCGCTAGTAACCGCCGCCGACTCAGCCGGTGTCGAGCACAATCGGCAGTTGGCGATAGGGATACGCCTAGCGAAACAGCGTCTGTTACCTCCAGATTGTTACCGATTTCGCTGGCGGTGGTCGCCGCGGCGGCGGTGGCTGCGGCTACTGTTAGAGCGAACTGGCGATTCTTCAGCAGCGAATGGTTCTTGACGATATTGGCGAAGCTGATTGGTTACATCCTGATCACTGCATCGACGGTGGTGAAGCTTCCTCAGGTATCACCTATCGAATTTCTTATTCTACTTTCGTTAAACACTCTGTTTTTTGGGGCTCTTACCGCAAGCGCATGACGTGCCATCTCATCCCATGATTGCACGTTATCATCCCATCGCCGCTCCATGCATTCACAAACATGAAACGAATACCTGAATGCCCCGTATTCCTTATCTAATTGTGGCAGATCATGAGAATAGTTCGGAGCAGGAGCATCGAGGGGTTGAGCTTACCAGCCTTTGAGCTCGAGTGCATTGGCTACACCGTCTCGCTGCTCTTCTGCTGGACGCGGAAAGTGCCCTTCAGTGCGTATGGCGAGATGTTCTTCCTCACCGCTCAGTGTAAGCAAGCAGCGAAACCTTATGTGCTTGTATCGAGCTCGGGTGCCTGGGGTACACTGTTGCTCTTTTGCTGGACGCGGAAAGTGCCCTTCAGTGCTTATGGCGAGATGTTCTTCCTCATCGCTCAGTGTAAGCACTTTGATATATTCGAGGGTTTGATTCTTCCAACCTTTGCGCTCAAGTGTTTGGGCTGCACCGTCCCGTCCCGTCTCTCTGCTCTTCTGCTGGAAGCGCGAAGTGCCATTCAATGCCTAGCCTATGGCGAGATGTTCTTCCTCATCGCTCAGTGTAAGAAGCGTAACCTCATGTGCTTGTGTCTCGCTGCGCTCCACTGCCCTCCACTACCCCCCAGTGCCCTCCACTGCCCTCCACTGCCCTCCACTGCCCTCCACTGCCCTCCACTGCCCTCCACTGCCCTCCACTGCCCTCCACTGCCCTCCACTGCCCTCCAGTGCCGTCGAGTGCCAGCACCATGTGGAGGAGCTGTGATTCCTTGTACCCCATTGCAAGGGTCGTTGTTCCACTTTCTTCCTGTACTTTCTGGCGAGGCCAGCCATAGTTGAATACCCCGCTCCAACACTTTGCAGCCAGAGCGTGTGATGATCTGAGCACTCCCTGGCAGCCATCATTCGTGTGCTCCTTATCACGAGGTGGCTTTTGAGTCGACTCAAGAGTCACTCCCTGGCAGCCAGCAGTCGTGTGCTCCTTATGCATTTTTGAGGCGTCTCAAAAGCAGACCCCTCGTCAGAGCGACTGACGATCTGATCCCTCCCGCACCCATCGTTCTCACTTGCAATCCACCGCCACTCCCGCAAGATTGGGTCATCAGAGGCAACCACTGTCCTTAGTTGCTTCTCCCCTTGCTTTGTCTGCAACCTGTCTGTTTTTCTTCCTCTGCGCTATCCCTGCAGCCATGGCTCTCGTGATGCTGATTTACCACCACTCCTCAAAATTGGGCAACCAGAGATATTTGAGGGCGGGCATGTATGTCTGAACACGCTCTAAGCTCAAATTCCTCCTTCGCCTCCCTGCTCTTTACAGTATTGCTCACATGCACCCATGCATGCCTTCGTTTCCGTTCCAAACGACCCGTTGTTTTCAGCCGTCTTTCTTCTTTCGCCTTCCGTCGTCTAGGATGGGATGGGATGGGATGGGATGGGATGCCCCTGATAAATCAGCCTATATCATATGCCTCGTGTCTTCTGCCATCTTCTGCCTGAACGTCAAATTAGTAGCTGTTCTCCGTTTTTTTTTTTTTTTTTTTTTTTTTTTTAATCCAACCCTAGTTTTTTTCGTCTCTTCTATCTGCTTCTCCACGTGACAACCCATCCCAACTCATCCCAACCCATCAACCATCCCATCTCAACGCATCCTCATCTCCCGTCACCCCATCAGCTACAGGAGTCATGCATCCAGCCTGGTTCGAAGCATGCCAAGTGACTGACGGGCTCTAACCATGTCATGCCACCCCAACCCCCACCCCCCCCCCCATCAGCTACATGGGGATCGTAGCGTGCCTGATGTCTGGAGTCATGCATCCAGCCTGGTTCGAAGCGCTCTATGTGAGTCACCTGTTTGAGTCACTCATATGACTGCTTGCAGTCCTTGTAAGTCCTGGCTTTAAGTTGTGAGGGCCTCACTCACACGTCAAGTCACCTACACACCTGGAGATGTTTCGTTGCCTGGCTTTATAGGGAATGAGAAACTCAGCTGCGACTACTCGCACACGCAGTGGCGTGTTTTCCCCTTTTTCCCCTTTTTCTCATTATTGTCAGGTTTTCTATCTTCAGCTTCCAAGGCTCTGCGTGTTTGTCTCCTTGTTGTCGCATGCAGAACGGGCAAACTGCGATTTTCACTCTCTCAAGAATACCACAGATCTGGGAAAACTTTGTGGTGAGTCTGCTTGTAAAGAGTACAATTCTCTCCTCTAAGGACTCCTCTACGGACTTGTTCAATGCATATCGCCGCGCCCCCCTAATCATTGTGTTGCGTGATGTTCGCCGTAACTCATTGCTCTCTGTTACTTGTTCCTCACACCTGCCACGGCCCTCCTCTCCGCATGCCCCGCTCTCTCTCCACTTTCTGTCAGGCCTCCAGCACCGGGCAGCTGAGCCTCACCACCACTGCCATGGGTGCAGCAGGGTGTCCACCAGCGCCTTCTCTCCACACACCTCCTCTGCAACCCTTAACAACCCCATTCCCCCCCCCCTCCCTCCCCCTCCCTCCCCCCAACCCTCTCCTGGGTGCGTCAGGCCTCTAGCACAGGGCAGCTGAGCCTCACCACCACCGCGATGAGTGCAGCAGGGTGTGCAGGTCGGTGCATTGTGGTTTGCTAAATTTCGTTTCCCATGATGGCTAGAGTGTGTGCAGCATCATGGCTTATCGATTGGTTTTGATCCAAGAGTCAATGTGCACCTCTCGGCACTTTGTGCTCACACCCACCCTCTCAGCTCTTTGTGCTCACACCCACACTCTCAGCTCCTTGTGCTCACACCCACCGTCTCTGCTCCTTGTGCTCACACCCACCCTCTCTGCTCCTCTACTTTCTGTTTGCACCTCTGCCAATCTCAGCCCGTTTGTTCACCAGCATTCAGGAAAAAGCGCCTCACAGCAGTAAGAAACCGGTCTCCACCCCTCTCAACCCCACTTAACCCCTCTCTACCACGTTCTGTTTCCAAGCTAGCTGCATGACTCGCATCCCCAGCTTCCCTTCTCCGTGCAAGTGCTTTCTCTGCTGTCTCTGTGCTTTCTCCCTTTTCTGTTCTGCCACGTGTTGGCAGCGGGGCAGAGTTCTCTCATTGACTACCTGTGTCTTTTGTTCTCTGCCTGCTTCTCCCTTTCACTGCCTGCTTCTTTCTTTCACTGCCTGCTTCTCCCTTTCAATGCGCTGCCCGCAGTGGTCATAGCGAGCATCGCCGGTCTTATGTCAAACGGAGTGCTTCTCTCGCAGATCCTTGCATACGCCAAGCCAAAAGCCACCACAAGCGAGTCGACACCTTCGGTAGTTGAGCCAACATTAGATGCCCGCCCTCCCTCGGACTAACAGGGTACCCTTAGCTGTGCACCTTCACTTTAAGCACTCCCCAGTCAATTGTTCGTTGGACAGGTGGTTGCCTTTAGGTAGTTTTTGTCTCCTGGCTCCTGCCAAGTTGCCTTGCCACCAGTCTACTCATTCCTGTCATGCCCTCGTTTCTTGTCTCCAGTATTTCGTAGGCAATGGGATGGAAGGCAGTCTCAGAATATGAGAATTTTTTTTTGTAGTAAAAAATTTACAGATTGTGATTCGACTAGAAGAGGAGTTTGCTGTAAAGGAGACAAACTCCTTCATCTATCGGCAGGTCTTTCAGACCTGCCACCTAGTCTCATTTGCATTTTTCTGTTCCAACTTGCCCACCCTTCCCTCCCATGCTTTGATAACTAGCATGGCCTGCTCACCAGGGCTGACTTTATCAGACTATTTACTCTGATTAGTCTGTAATCTCAGACCGGTTTTTTTGCTAAACCTGAATTTCCAGATAAGGCATTTTCCCAATCCTGATCGATTCAGACTTAGACTTTAGGGATCCTGAAAAAATCAGAGTTCACGCTAACCCAATACTGAGTTTTCAGAGTACATCGGGTACGAACCCTGAAACAGATTTCCACGGGGCACGCAAGATCCCTAGAAATTTCGCATGCCATCAGTGATTCCCGCCCGCGTCACGTGGAGAATCCACACTTCCTTGAAAAATCCGCCAAGTCCAATGAATACTCTGCCCACAGTGGGCACTCTGCTACCCAGCGCAGCAAAAATGCTGCCATGCCGAGCCACTAAGGACCACAGATTCTGCTCTGTTGCTCTCTGTGCATGCGCGAACTTCGGGCCCGTGCCCTCTGTGCCAGCCTTGCAGAGGTTGGCCATCATCCCCATTGGCTGCAGTTGCAGCCAACACATCGACTAGGCAGCATGGCGCTGTGTTGTGCATGGACAAGTCCCGAAACCGCGTCACGCCTTTCAAGAAAGGTGCGACACGGGTTTGATGGACCCCTTCTTCTCCAGTTGTTCCTTACCCACCAGCTTCGAACGCACTGCTTCAGGTTTTAGAGGGGAAATCCTTCATGTTGTTCATTTCGACACAGACGTAGTTGTAGTCACTGTCTTCATTTCCTACACGTCGTTTCTCCTCTCGCCATGCCTGAAAAGGATGGCGACGACGATGCTCCAGCTGACGGTGATGAGCCGCGCAGCAGTAAGGTTCCTGTCGTTGCGCCAAGGAGCGCCCTAGATGTCTTGCGGCCCGTTGCCGCATCGGCTCCTCCGCCTTTTGTCGCCACAACCGTTGTAAACGAGACCCCACGCGATGAGCCATCGTTGCCTAGTAGACCTGCCCCCGCTCCGTTCGTTCTCCCACCAGCCATAGCATCTTCTAGCAGAGGACCAGTGGATCCTATTGACTGCGCCACTGCCTCTACCGTTCGTTATAGTGTGCCCTGCGCATCGACTGTCTCTTCGGCGAAGAAACAACGTACGACGAAGTATACACAGCAGCGTATCAACTCAGGTGGCCAGATTCGCCCTCCCTCACCACCGCGCTCACCTACCCCCCTCACCCGCCCTGATGAACCGCCGCCACCGACGCTAAGTACAGAGGAATTGATCGAGCAGAAGTACCTAGTCGCGGAGGCTAAGTATAAGAATGATTGGCTGCGTTATTTCCCATGGCTTGTACTTACCCGTACTAAAGATGGCTACCCCGCTCTTAAGTGCAGCGTTTGCCGAGCCTTCGGCAAAGAAACGACGAAGTATTCAAGGCCAGGCGACGGCGGGCGAGATCTCCAGACACAGACGATGCGCATTCATGAACACTCAACAGTCCACGAAGCGGCAGTTCGCCGGCAGCTCGAGATTCAAAAGGAAATTGAAGACAAGCAGCAGAAGATGACAAGCTTCGCCACCGTCGATGTCGAAGGCCGCCGCGTCATCCGTCTTTTGCGGTGCGTGGAATTTCTTTGCAAGAACGACGCTCCTATCGCCATGTTTCCCCGGCTGCTTCGTTTCATGGCAGAGCAAGACACACCAGACATACCTCTCCAGTCGTACGGAGTGTATCTCACCAGGTAAGGCTACCTGGCTTTCGCCGGTTGATGGTTGGATTTTGATATGAACCTTGTAAATTTCAATGCATTTCCAATGCTAATTACCCAGTGTCTCACTTCTGATTATGCCACTGCAGGTACGGGTTCCAGCAGATGGTCAACTGTCTCTCTACGCATCTGCTGGCTGCTCAGATGGAGCACATCAAGAGCTCACCTTACCTCGGCATCTCATGCGATGAAAGCACCGACCGCACGCGGGGAAAGCACTTGATCGTCTACATCACATTCATGCGGCTGCGTCGAGTCGTCACCGAATTCCTAGCCCTGCTAAACGTTGACAAGTGCGACGCCGCTTCTCTTATGGCCACTCTCTTAGCCCACCTGGAGTCGTCCGGCATCGACCTCCAACGCATCGTTGGCATCAGCACAGACGGCGCGTCGGTGATGGTCGGCCGAGACAACGGGCTTGTGGCGCGACTGCGAGACATCATCCCGCACCTTTTTTCCTCCCACTGCATCGCCCACAGGTTTGTTAAAGTATTCCTTGCTGTCTGTTTATGCTTCTTATGTTTCTGTGTGCTAACCACTACCCATGTCGGTACATGCAGAGAAGCACTTGCTGTGAAGGATGCTGCCGCTTCATGTCCAGACCTCGACATGGTCGACAAAGTCACTCGCACCCTTGCGGACCTTCTCGGCCGGTCGAGCGTATGGAGCAGTCGTTTCAAGCATCTGCAGCGGGCGATTCACAGCACCAACCTTGAGGTTCAAGGCATCCATCAAGTTCGATGGTTGTCCAGGGGAGAGGCAATCCGACGCCTGTGTAAAGTGTTGGGTGCTGCGATTGTTCTGCTGTATGAGTATGAGCATCCCCTGTATGAGGTTGTCATTTCGTATAAGTTTCAGTTTTGCCTCTTCTACCTGGCCGACATGCTGGCACTCATGAACGACCTCAACCTCAAGTTTCAGAAGCGAGAGGTAAGATGCTCATGTTTGCAAGCATGGTGTTCTCCTCTGGTGCAAGTACTCATGTCTTTCACTCCTCTGTGTCCCCCCCCCCTCACACCGCAGGTCGATGTCACAGAGGTGGCAACGGACATCGACGCGACACTGGGGGATCTGCGGCACCGCTATGTCGACTTCGGGGAGATTTTCGGTGTCGGCGCCGAAAACACCTGGCTCTCGGCGTTCCTCGCGGTGTACGGGCGCGGCGGAACGAAGCGGGTGAAGGTGCGCGGTATCGACTTGGAGGGGAACCCCGTCACCCATACGTACAAGATGCACGAGCGGCACCTCGACAAGCACCAGTACGGGAGCAGCTACAAGGACTGCGTGCAGCTGTGCCAGAAGCACGCCAAGGATACCATGACCAACGTACAGGAGCGGATGCTGGATCTGCGCAAGATGTCGCCGACGAAGCTCTGGGTGGCGGCGAAGTGGCCGAGACAACGGGCGCAGCGCGAGAAGAAGACGAGAGAGTATCTGCTTGGATGCAGCGGAATCTTCGAGCACAAGCTGCCAGGCTTCGACGTGAAGGCAGCGGAGAGGGAGCTCGCAACTTGGGCGCCGATCATGCAGAATCATCACGAGGTGGAGAGTTTCCACCAAGGCCTGGCAAACTACCTCACGAAGACGGACTCGAGCAGGCAAGTCCAACCATATTGTCGTTTCTGAATCACCACCTTCCATTCTACTTGCCAAGTGTGCACAACATCGCCGCCCTTGCCAACCGCATCTTTGTGTTATCCGCCTTCACTGTATGCATTTCCTACTGCCTTTCTTCCGCCTCTGTTTCTGTGCCCCGTGTCAGGCGCTGGCCCAATCTGATGCGCCTCTGGCAGGCCTGCGCCGTGCTGCCTTTGTCAACCGTCGAATGTGAGAGGGGCTTCTCTCGGCAGAATGTGATTAAGTCCTGGGTCCGTGGCTCACTCTGCAACGCGCGCCTCTCCGAGTTGATGGCCATCTCGCTGCTGCAGTATGACATCAATTGGACCGAAGCCCTAGCGACCTGGCGAGAGAAGCTGAGACGGCCAGCACGATCTGTTGTCTTCGCAAGAGCGGAACGAAAACGCAAGGGGAAGGCCCTAGAGGGTGAGGTGGCGGGGGACACAACGGATGGACAGGGGGAGGTGCCAGAGTACGCGGGGGAGGGGTGGGCTGGGGAGGATGGGGGTGATGATGAGAATGATGCGGCTCCAACATTAGGCGACGACCCTTTCCTGTCCGACGATGAGGGGGGTGATGATGAGATTACTGTAGATGTGCCGGAGTTCTAGGTGCCTGTTAGCTAGTGGTGATTGCTTGGTTTGGTAGTAGTAGTTGTAGATAGGCTCCTGTCCAATGTAGCAAAATGTAATACACAAGAATAGCTTTTCTTAATAACATAAAATGTAACCCTGAGTACATTTGCGCGATCCTGAGAATTTCAGAGTTGCACATCTCTGGACTCTGACATTTCAGAGTCCCTAAATTCTGGCTGAAGGCCATTCAGACTATTTTTTTTTTGGGGGGGGTCAGCTCAGAGTGCCTTTTTTTGAAACGTCAGCCCTGCTGCTCACCCTTGTTCCCTTGCCATGTATTTGCCCTATCTAGTGTGCTGTACTATGGAGCTATGATATGCTATGACGACTGCACTGCACACTCCTCTGAGGTCGTGTCACAATAACGCAATGACTAGAATGAGGCATACAGGCAAGTTTTGTGCTATGGTGCTGTACTCTCTATAAGCATGCACCTATCTAGCCTATAACAATAGGTATATACATATGTATCAGAATTAGAGAAGTGTTATTGATAGAGTAAGAGTACATACAGATATACCTAAGTCTTGTACCCTCTAAGAGGTGAACCTATACAGTCTATACAAACATGACAAATACACATGTTTGACAATATGTTGACAAACTGGATCGACATTTGATTTAATACGCTGTGCATATTGGTACAAGGTCGCATGGTGACTGGAATCGTCAGCATGAGTTGCCAATTTAGGTAATCAACCCATAAGGGGTGTACGCTTAGCGTGTGTACTGTTACGGACAATGTATTTTTCATGTAGGCACACAACAAGGGATGAGGTTTTTGTGGGCTTGTGGACTTGCTGTCAAAAGACTAGCTTAGCTAGGAAGCCATAGAATGGCACAAGGTTTAGCTAGGAGCTAGGAGGAGCCATGAGAATGGCGAGAGGTTTTAGGTGCTAGGAAAGT